GGGGGAGGGGGGGGTTGCGTTTGGTCCGGGAGCTCGCCGGGGGATGCTGTATTGATCGCGAGAGCGAGCGGGCTAAAGTAAGCCGAGGCTGGCTGGCACGGAGGGTTGCCTTGGCAACCCTCGTCGTCCCTCATCCCTCAGGAGTCCGGCCGCCCGTCGGCCCGAAAACCACCCCCGAACGCCAACCACCACTCCCCGTCTCTCTCCCTCCCTCTGTCTCTCTCTCTCTCTCTCTCTCTCTCTCTCTCTCTCTCTCTCTCTTTCTCTCTCCCTATCATCTATTTATCTATCTATTTATCTGTCTATCTTTCCTTGTCTATCATCGGTCTCGCGATCTGTACGTCGTACCGAGCGGTATTGTACGCTTGATAGATATGTCTGATAGATGCTTATGTGCGATCCTTTTTCCGTCCTTCCTACCTTCTTCGATATTCCTTCCGGTTCGCCCATCGACGCGTTCCTTTCCTTTCGGAAATAATTGGGACAGAGCCTGCTTCCTGACAACGTTGTGGTGAGGTGACGACGGTCGTGTTTAATCCTTTTAGAGCAAGTCTTTCCGACCTGCTTGAGATTTACGGGACGAATGTACAAAGTGCGAGGCGATATAATATTAATGGAAGATAACTAGGACAGATCCTGCTTTCTGATATAAATATCATTAAAAGTGACAATGAACACGTTTAAATGTATCAAACTAGATCTTTGAGGCTACTTCGAATTTATGTAGAGGAAGTATAAAGTTGATAAGTAAATAATGTTAATAGATTCTCTGCTTCTTGACAGTGAGTTATGATAATAACAGCATATAATAATTTTGTTGAGCTTTGCTTGAAAAATTTATTTTACAGAAGGGTATCTACAACTCTAACGTATTAATAAAGTGAGATAATTGTAATTTTATTTCGGAATAATGTAGTTAAATATAATAAAATAGAGTTTATACAATTTTTCAGATTTCCATGACGCGAATGGTATTTCTGAGTTGTTTAAGAATCGAGAGTGCGCGTGTAAAATAAAATTGTATATAATACATTATAAAGGAAATAATTATTGTGGAAAAAATTACAGATCTGCAATATTAATTCGGTTCGTTGGATTTAAAACGCAATTATAAATTGGAGCTGGACATAATATCGCGACGTAATATGGATTGTCGATTGATGTATAAATATTTATATATAAATGGTGTAAATAAGTATCTTGAAATACTGCAAAGAAATTTATTATGAAAATAAATAAGAATATCTTTGTTGAATTAATTGCCGCAGTTACTTTATGCTTCCCTAATGGATCTGGATGTGCAGGCATGATTAATTCTGCGCAGTACAGCAAAGCAGACGCGCTCGTAATTATTTTCGAGATCTCGGGATATTTCTCAGTGCGAGGGAAACGATAAATCTTCAGGCGCTATGGCTGCCGCCCGACCTAGAAAGATTTTGCGCGTATCTCGCGAGCGAAACACGTCGATGTATTCTCAATAATTCAGCTCTTTCAGCCGCAAGTCTTTTAAAAAAGAAAGAATGGAAATCTAAATATCATAAAGATATTTCATTATATTTTAATTCTTATTAAATCAATTATGTTTCTTTGAGTATGTGTTTCTTTTTCGATATTTTTCATTATTCTATTTATTCCTGCAAAGTCCATTTTAATTTATAACGTTTATTAAACTTATTCAAGCCAAAAATGTAAGAGGAAGACTCAATTATCGAGTTACTTTCAAATTTATTTCGTTTAGAGTAACAGCACATTCATAGATAATTTCTTCGAGAAATAATAACCACGAGAGAATTTATTCAGTAGTTCAAATATGTTTCTGAAATATCTTATCAAAGATTTACGGGGATTTACCTATTCCAAGTCTAGAAATATTCTTAATAATATTTTAATAAAGTGAGTGTAAAAAGAATTTGAACAGGAGAGATTTCCTTTAGAGAGATCTTATTTTTAGAAAGTAAACATTTTAGCAATTTAACAAAGAATAAAATAGATTGTAGACTTCTTAAAATTATTTTATCGAAAAATATGTGTAATAATTAAGGTATGTTATCTTTATAATAAAAAATGAAAAATTGTATTATTTGGACGCACAAAAACTAAATAAAGTATTCGTACAGTCGAGAAACTTAGCTTTTAAGATTATGAAACTCTATTATTTTTGAAGTTCTTTTATATACTTTTATTACTAAAAGAGAACGTAATTCATTGTTAATGAATTAATAATTAATGTTTATTTCCCACACAATTGATCTTTTTTTTTACAAAAATCTCCCTTACACGATTACTTTTCGTATCCATCGTATACACTTCAATACATTTGCATAATTAAAATGTGAAAATATTGGCTAACAATAGAAATAATCTAATTACGATAACGTCATAACGAGAGACGCCTCTGGCTTTAGCTTAAATGCACGTGGAAATTTATTTTGGACGCATTTCCGGAAATTTATAATATTTCGCCCATAAAGCATCCGCTAGTCACCTCCAAATACTCGCACGCCGGCATTAATTATCCTCTCCAGGCCGCGAAATAAAGTACGCGCGCAAACAACCCCGTTTAACCCCTTCGATTAATTTATGCGATGTCGAAGTTGCGGGCGTCTCAGTGCTGGTCCCGCGCCACGGTTCTCCGGCAGCTCGGAATATTATTACGTCGCGTTGTGTTTACGGTAAATGCACGCAAACACACGCACGTGCATCCACATGCACGCCACGCACGCGTGCCAACACAAAAGTAAAACTAACCGGGGTTACCCGGTTCGTTCGCGTTCGTACGGCATGGACGTTCTCAAGGGGGTAAGAAAGGGGTGATTCACACACAGAGGGGGCTGTCGCCGAATTGTCTCGGCATCCCCGATGATGCTCGCGATGTTTTTCTACGTTCTAACGCGTGTCCGTTAATCGTATTCAACGACGATGTATGTCGGCGAATTGTAAACTCGACACACGGTAGATGGGGCGAAGAAATGGGAAAGGCGGGGAAGAGAAATTTACGGTAAAATCGAGGGAACGACGTGAATTTCTTTGTGATAGCGGAGAGTCTAGAAGGAGGTCTATTGTGTTCATTGTGGCAATAAATATAATAGTAAATATACAGAATTTTTGAAGGAAAGATGAAATACAGTAGTGTGTTGCAGAATATTGATATATAAAATGTAACAATAAATAGTTCAGTATTTATAATGTAATAAATATTGAAATATTTATTACTGTTTATTATGTAATAAATACTGTTTATCAATTGTAACAAATTTTGTAAAATATTTAAAGAAAAGATGAAATAGCGGTATGACACGTAATGCTGCAGAATGTCGATGTATAAAATGTAATAATAATAATAATAATAAATATGCTAGTATTTTTTTAATGTAATAAATACTGCTGAGTTTTATCAAAATTCACATCAAATATATTTACTAGAATATATATATATTTTTTATTATCCGTAAAAGATATTCATTTGGTTATTTGCTGCTCCGCGAGTAAAAGTGGCTAGACTATCAAAATAATTAATAGAGAATAATAATTAATAGAGAAATGATCTTAGGAGTAATTCTCTTTTCCCAAAAGTTACGGACCAAGTTTGGAGTAAAGTTTTTCCTTGATAAAAATTTCATTTGACAATCCATTTTTCATTTTAATTTTCGAACTATCACTCTTCAACTTTTTTTAATTTCTAACTTTAAATCACATTTGCGAGAGAATTTTTTACGTTTCTCGTGTAAAGTAACTCTTGTTAAAGATTCAAAGAAATGAAAGGTGACCTTACGTGAAATATATTTCTAGCAACTAGCGACTTCTCTTGGACACAATTTTCCTTTTCCGATGGTAACAACATGCTCTCGGGGGATGATCTTTGGTCCTACCCGCCAGGGTACGCCAGTCGATGGTCCAGCGCAGCATCCCCCGGTCGTAACGGGCGCGCCCTGGCACACAGTCGTCGAATTAATTCGGGGGTTGCCCTCTTCTGCGCAGGATCCATCAAACAACGGGGAGAGACGCGTGCGTGCCCCTGAGGCCTGGGACGTGCCACGTTCGGGGGCGATAATTTCGTCAAGGACGATTTTATCGGAAATCATCATCGTGAGACAAGAAACTCAAGAATTTATCAAGCATCACTTCCGTGAGACCACGGTTTCCCACAAAAAGAACTTCCGGAAGGGCTCACGGAATTTTTTTTCCATTCTCATTCGACCACCGAGACAACCCCCGGCAAATTAAAATGGCCGTGATTGGCCGAGTTGGGTGATTACAACGGTAGAACAATAGGAGACCGCGGCAGTCCGTCCAGGATCGAGATTCGGAAAAGTTGGAGCTGGTCGTTGAGAAAACGCAGAAACGTTCGGACGAAGGGATGATCCGGCGTTACGCGCTGGTGCGCGAGAAACTTTGCTGATTGCCGGATTCTGCACCCCGCGGGGCACGCGCGGGGGGTGGGAAAAGAAAATCGTCGTCGGTAAGTGTTCCACTTGCTATTGATTGCGTTTAGAGCGAACGATGACGCCTGCTGTCCTTCTGTACGAATGGCGGCGGTGCTCGTTAACAGAAAAATGCGAAAATGAAAATAGAGATCTTTCGCGAGGATAAAAAATGAAAAATTCATCGTGAAGTAAAAATCAATCTTGGAGCTTTTTTTAAAGAAACGAAAAGGCTTGCGAAAGAAATGTAATAATAAAATGAGTTTATTATTGATTAATTATTAAAGAGATGTGAGATGCTTAAGAATTAAATGAACTGTGTTAAATAAAATGAGTTTCAGCGACATGTGAAATAAATTATTCGCGAAAAGAGTAGTGCCGAAATGTTTCAAAATGTGGAATATTAAATAAAAAAAGAGGTTGAAATTTAATTTAATTTAATTCAATTTTATTAAGCACCCATAGAAACTGAGATATACATAAATTGTATTAAAAGTCGTTTAAAGAAAATGTGAG